ACTTGTGTGTCTTTATAAAGTTAGGGAAAATAAGCTGTATCTTGTGAGAGATAAATGCAAAGAAACCTCACGGATGGGAAACGGCCCAGTTGCCCGGGCTCCCCGGTAGAAGGGTGTCCGTGCTCGGTTGGCCTCCCGAAAATCTTAGTATTTTCCAGTACCTAGCAGTGAGTTTTGATTTTATATTGAGGTCCTCAACTTCCATAGTCAATCCCAATGCAACAAGAAAGATTCGAATTTAATCCAAATATTTCCTTAATTGTTCACAATAATTTATTTTACCAAGTTTACAATGATGCTGAGGCAGTGTAGGCTTAAATTGTAAATCAGTTTATGTATAAAATATAAAACAAACTATCATTAAAATAAAAGATAATCCTTTACACATTACCAAGCCAGTAATGTAAGACATTTGCTACTTATGTGTCAAGAGTGGAACAATAAATTATTGGTATATTTAAAAAATCAATTGAAGTGATTTGTGAATTGGATTATTAAAGATCTGAGTCTTGCTCAATTTATGCAAGTTGCTAAAATACTTACAGTATCATAAATAATTCTCCACAATTAGTAAAAATCCTCTGGCTTTTCCTAGATAAATGTATTTCTACATCTGGAAAGACGTTTTCATCTTGGGACAAGATAAATATCCCAGCCTTCTTTTTCTTTTTCTTTTTTCTAGTATGTGTGACATGCTGTCACCATTACTATTTATGCTTACAGTACTCATAATAATAATTTTATATTTTTAATCTTTTATCTGCCAACATGAAATAAATTTTCAATGTGAATTTACCTGCCTGTTTTATCCTCTCTGTGTCTGTCTGTCTGTCTATCTCTCTCTCTCTCCACACCCACACCCCCCACATACACACACTTCTTCCACTAGCACAGTATTCCCAGGGAGGACATTATTTCCACTTGAAATGATATTGAAGTTTTGAAGGAATAAGTAATTTACAAAGCCATCCAGTCAGAAGAAATAGAGCTTAATTTTGAAACTCTCACTGAATTTGCCAACCTCCCAATCTGTGAATCAATATTTCCATCTAAGAACACATTCTTAGAACTCTTCAATTCTATGATATAATTCAGCTTTTCTTCTAAACAGCCTAGTGAAACTGTATATGTGTTCTAGATTGTCTCTATGACTGGGATACGTTGGTGTCACACCCTTTCGAGCCTGCCTCAGTCCTTTGTAATTAATGGGGAGAAATGAGACCAGTTCAGAATGTAACCAACTCCAGCCCTGAGAAGAACAAGCACTGTCCTGTTGATAGTGAATGAAAGTATCCAACACTTGAGAGAAACTTAAAGAGAAAAATATTGAGACACTAAAATATAGCATAATTACAGAGGCAGTGAACTCCAAAAGCCTATATGCCAGTAACTAGTTCCTGAGATACATTGCCAAAGGCGATTTAATTTCAAGAAAAGAAAATCTGCAGCATTTCATCCATTTGCTATTTTTAACTTTGTTATTTTTGTCATTGGTTTCCTGTGTTTGTAAACTTCTTTTGGTTTATGGTTGTGTGCAACTCAAACCATAAAGATTTTGTTTTTGTTTGAATACATTTAAATAATGTTGCAATAAAAGATAACTTAAAACTATTTTAGTTTAAAAGAAACTGGGAGTGGGCTGGCCAGATGGCTCAGGGGACTAAAGAGCTTGCTTAGTCAGAGTGCAGCAGCAGGGGTTTGATCCCAGGCCTGCTCTGCCAGCCCCGCCCCTGGGGCACGCTGAGAGAGGACTGAGACATGGACATGGTGGTGCGTGCCTGTAATCCCAGCATTTGGGAGACCGAAAACAGGAGGATCACTGTGAGTCCAATCTATGTAGTAAGACCCTATAGTCCCTGTAGACCCTGCACTAAATACATAAAATAAAAGGAAAGGAAATGGGAGAGGTACTGTATTGGGTGCCACTTTCCATGTGACTGGTTGGTTGTCAGCATCACACTCTTCATTTTAAGAATTGTTTCACACACTGTCGACAGTACACTCCCCACACCCTTGCTTTCTTTTTTATGGTGACAGTGGTTACTATTTTTTCCATAATTGTATTGAGAGTCAAATAGCAATGAGATAGTTTCAAATCAAATTGGTAGGACAGTTTCAATAATTAACACATTGCATGCTCTCTTCCTAGTGGTTAATTGCTGTACAATATGCAGACATTGTATCCTATTTACAAACATTATTAGAACGAATCCCTTTATTCATTAAGAGAATGTAACTATATATCTATCCTAACTATTTTGCATACACAGATACAAAATGGACATTCATCTGTATCGCCTTTTTTGTTTAGTTCTGTCATCTGAATATTATAGGTGTGCTAACTCATCAAA